AGGCGACCTGCGGTACTGGACATAGCCATCCTCCGCAACATCAGAGAGGAGTTCGAGATAGAGACCCTGGTGGAAGGATCGTCGGACCACAATCCGATCCTACTAACACTTGGCACAGGGTCTACAACTCGAGATAGCTTGAGCACCAAACGGACGAACTGGAACCACTACAAATCCAACGTCCAAAGGAATATCACTCAAATTCCAACCATCCGATCAGCGGAGAAACTGGACAACGCAGTAGAGGAGCTGGAGAATGCAGTCCTGCGAGTGCATGAGGACAGCACCTACTCCGAGACTACGGCAGTTCCGAGACACCTAAATGGTCCAGCACCGCACCATGTTAGGCACCTGATCAGGGAGAACAGAAGACTCAAGCGAGAACATCTCCAGCTGTTGACAGAGGAGTCGAGAGTTGCGCGAAACAGAGCATCGCTAGCACTGAAGAACGCACTCGCGGAACTCCAAAACAGCAGATGGAATGCAGCCTGTGCAGAACTAGAGACCCAGGATGGTACGGCCTGGACTATGCAGCGAAAATTTCGTCGTCAGCGCACCACGATCCCCACTCTTCACGGCCAACGCGGCTTGGCCTACTCCAGTGAAGAAAAAGCCGAAGCATTCGCCAATTCGCTAGAATCCGAATGCAGACTCAATTACCATGAAGACGAGGACGACAACCACGAGGAGGCCGGGGAAGTCGCAGCCGAAATCATGAGGAGACGACCACCTGGCCAGGAGACGGATCACCCCTCCAGTCCAGAGGAAATCCGTCTGATCATCCGCAGGTTGAAGGTCAGAAAGGCGCCGGGAGGGGACGGCATCAACAACAGGATGCTGAAGAACCTTCACTCCAAAGGCATTGCTGCGCTCACCAACATCGCCAATGCCACTCTGAGACTTAACCACTTCCCGCGGCGGTGGCGGGAAGCCCAGGTTATAATGCTCACCAAGCCAGGCAAGGACCGGAAGTTGCCCCAGAACTACCGGCCCATCAGCCTGGTTTCCTCGATGGGCAAAGTAGTCGAAAAGGCTATCGCCGTTCGACTAGAGAAGCAGGCAGAAGAACTGGAATTTCTCCCCCCATAGCAATTCGGCTTCAGATTCCCACAACACGGAACTCCAAGCGACTGACAGAAAACATCACCAGTGACTTCAATCTCCAGGAGGCAACCGGCCTCGTCCTGCTGGACGTGGAACGAGCCTTCGATCGAGTTTGGCACGATGGACTCATCGCCAAAATGGAAGCCGCCGGAATCGATGCAAACATGTGCCAACTGATCGAGAGCTAACTTACACAAAGATGGTTCACGGTGAAGATTGGTACATGCCACTCAACAAGACGACAGCTGAAAGCAGGCGTGCCCCAGGGGTCAGCCTTAGCCCCCCTGCTCTACAACATCTACACTCACGACGTACCGAAAACAGCTGACACAATGCTGGCCCTATATGCAGACGACACTGCTATAGCCGCCAAGCATCGACGACCCGAGATCATCCGTAGGAGACTACAGGATGAACTGGACCGCATCCAGGATTGGTGCGTGAAATGGAAAATCCGCATCAACGTCCAGAAGACGCAGGCATTCTTCATCCAACGAAGAAGGATTGCAAGACCTCTCGAAGCATCCATCTTCGACGAAGATATCCAGTGGAGCGACAAAGTCAAATATCTGGGGATCGTATTTGACAAGTTCCTCACCTGGAAAGACCACATAGAAGCTGTCATCGCAAATACCAGAGCAGCCATGGCCCAACTCTACCCATTACTGGGTAGATACAGCCGGATGCCGCTAGCGACCAAGCTACGGCTGATCAAGGCCATCGCCAGACCTCAGCTCGCTTACGCCTCCGCGGTCTGCGGGTACGCTGCTCCCAGCTACCGCAAGCGACTTGCTGCTCTAGAGATGAAGCTACTCCGGATCGCCACCAGTGCACCATCCTACGTAAGAAACTCAACCTTGCGTAGAGACCTGCATTGGGACACCATTCACGAGTACATGAGAAAAAAAGCGGAGAAGACCTTCCAGAAAGCTCAGGAGACTAGGAGAACCCGCGGTTGCTCTCCCCTTCCCCCTCCACGGCGTGGATGCAGAGGACCAGGACCCACCGGGACCAGGACCTACCAGGACCAGGACCAACCAGGACAAGGACCCGCCACGACCAGGACCCACCAGAACCAGGACCCATCAGGACCAGGACCAGGAACAATATATTTATCTTTTAAACTTGATGATGCTTATGTTGCCTGCATGCGTATCAATTCCGATCTTGAGTACTTATCTAGATATGTAAGAGCCCACAGTCTCGTATTAAATGAAAATAAAACTGAATTGCTTATTTTTGGATCAAGACCGTGTGAGGTTACTGACAATCAGAATTTTAGAATCTGCATTAATAACACTGTATTGCAAGCAAGCAACCAATGTAAAAATCTGGGATTATATATGGATAATACTCTTAAATTTGTTCCCCACGTTAAGCATCTCTTACAAAAAGCTTATGCTAAATTAAGGACTTTTTATCTTCACAAGAATGCTCTCTCTACTGAAGTCAGGCTGAATCTATGCGATTCGTTGATATTGTCTTCCTTGTCATATGCTGATATTGTATACTGGCCTGCTCTCACTACTAGAGACAAACGTTCTATTCAAAAAATTCAGAACTCATGCATCAAATTTTCGTACGGTTTGAAAAAATATGACCACTTCAGTGACGAATTTCGAGCCTCTGGCTGGTTCAACATGCATGAGCGCTTTTTGATACATCTTGCTTGCTTAACTTACAATATTAACAAAACCCAGCTGCCACTTTACCTATATACCAAACTTGTTAAGAGATCGGATCTTCATGATAGGGAAACTCGTTCTTGTAATCTCTATGATGTTCCGTTACATAGTACTGAACAGTTTAAAAACTCATTTACTTATGTTGCATCTACCATGTATAACTCATTGCCAGATGCAGTAAAAGATTCGATCTCACTTAGCAGCTTCCGAAATAGAGTCAAATCCCATGTGAAAAGAGCACAATAGTTAGTTTTATTTTTGTTGTATTAATTACACCCATCATTATTCGCTCATTATCATCTAATTGTTAGAATTGTATTATTTACGGGGGTTGCATGGAAGAGCAACTATGTTGAATGCCGCCTCCCTCATCAAATGAGTATTTTTTTGTTTGTTACAATTTATCTAAAAAATAAAGACATATTATTATTATTATTATTATTATTATATAGGTAAGAGGACTTGAAACTCTTGATTTTCCGAAAACAAGAGTTTCAAGAGAACCTAGCAGACCCTCTATCGATGATCGCTTAACGACATCGATTGAATGTGCGAGGTAAAGGGAACCAACCCGACGTTCCCAGAGACTGAAACACATGAGGAGACGTTGTAGCAGACCGCAGGCCACGCACAACACATGGCCTACCGAGACGCTGATGAGTCGGGCCACGCGGAGGTTAGGGTTTAGTGGGTATTAGGTGGTCTCCTCAAGACAACCTGGAGTCCCACACACGCCGTAGCTCCCTCACAAAAAAAAAAAATGAATGATAAAGCTTCCGCCCTTTGTTGGGTACTTAGACAAAATTCAAGCAAAGAGGACTATTTATCCTTTATTAATCTGTAGCTTTCAATGGACTTTGCCATCTGCACCAGGAGCTGCAATAACATTGTGCAAAATGAATTCTAAATTAACTTACAGTAGTATGTGAGGATGTTGATAAATGTTGTTAACATTTAGGTTGAGGGAAGCACCGAGTAACCTGGTGAAAGCTGGATACCTGGTACATTCGTCAAAATTAATATAAACTACACACAGCTGTATGTCAGGAACAACTTAAAACGGAATAAAAATATTTAAAACGAAAGTTAAAAATTACATCGTGAACCACCTGATGTTGCACAAGATGGTGGGCATAGGATCATAAGTAAGATGAAACCTTTGACAGGTGGAGTGTACCATGTATCCAGCTTTCACCAGGTTACTGGGTATTTCCCTCAACCTAAACGTTAATAACATTTAGCAACATCCTGACATACTACTGTAAGTTAATTTAAAATTCATTTTGCACAATAGTTGCTATTTTTTGTCAATGTTATTTCAGCTCCTGATGAAGATGGCAAAGTCCATTGAATGATAGAGATTAATAAACTATAAAGAGTCCTCTTTGCTTAAATTTTGCCAAAAAAAGGCGGCAGCTTTATTTTTCATCTAACTGGTCTAGACGACCATTACCACGTCTCAAGTTATATATATATATATATATAACAACAAGTAGGAAAATAATTGGCAAAATCCGCAAAAGGAGGAAAGTGGATTCGAGCAGAAAATAGGATAGGTAACCCGAGCGATACGTATTTCTGCTAAACCCACAGCAAAACAGACGCCGCGCAATGGTGCACGAATCTTCATTTGTGTAATAAGCCTTAACACACAACACCGGTGAAACACTCCATGGCGACTAAATTTCCGAGCATATTTCATATTGTCCATTTTCATCCGACTGCCTCAGAAGGAGGCTAATGTTTGTCGCGCGTGGGTATTTATATATTCAAAAATCCTAATTCTCGGGCTACAGACCAAATAATGGCTTGATGGATTCTGACATTTCAAGCGTCCTTAGTTTCGTTTTCATAGCACAATTAAAAATCTACTCTTTTCAGTTACTACTTTTGTATTTTCATTAATGTATTTGTTTCTATAGCTATGTTGGCAACCGGACTATAGGTACCTCCTAGCGCCTATCCGGTGAATACGTCCCCGTTTTGTCACAGTGTCATTGAGTATACATAGTGCCACGATACCAAAGCAGTATCAGCGAGGACGGTCAAGCAGGCGACGGCATTTTTATCAGATCGTAGAGAGCCCCCTAAGCATCGGTGAACTTTAGATTAATATTATTCGTAGCCTCTGATCCTTCTGCTCACCCTTCCGCACCACACCGTCCGATTAAGACATGTACATACATGCATGTGAGTCTGCCAGCTTGCTTGTCATACAACAAGCTTGTCTATACATGTTGCTACTTGTACGAAAGGTGGCGATTTAGGTTTTAGTGTAATCTCAAGTGTTTCTGGAATAAGAGGAATGTATTTTACGAACTGTGTGATTTAGCAACTGATATATATGATATATAAAAAAAAACAATGAAGTGGACTATATAAAAGATAAAAATGGACGGCTACTAACACAAGACGAACAAATCATGGAAAGATGGAGGGAATATTTTAAGGGATTATTAAAAAATATGGAAAATTGCGTAAGGGATGAGTTAATATAAGAAATTAAGACAAATGGTGACATTGCAACAGATCCAATTGCCGGGAAAGAATTAGAAAATGCCGTAATGAAACTTAAGGTATGGAAATCCCCGGGACCCGACGGAATAACAGCAGAGATGGTGAAGTATAAAAAAAGAGTATGTTTAGAGCTGTTGAATAAAGTAGCGGGAGAGAACGAAATACCCAAAGATTGGGAGTTAGCAATGATTACCATCATTTAAGAAGGAAGATACAAATGTATGTGAGAACTGCGGAGGCATTCCTCTAATAAGTATGCCGGAAAAAGTGTATGAGAGCATACTAACCGAAAGACTAAAGGAGAAAATAGAGCACCACCTAGGCGACGTACAACATGGATTTAGGGGAGGGAGAAGAACAACGGATGTAATATTTTTATAATAAAACAACTCATAGAAACAGTAGTAGATAATACCGAAACAATATACCTATTTTTCATAGATATATCAAAAGCATTCGATTCAATGGATAGAATGGACCTTTGGAATCTACTGAATAACTGCAATGTAAACAAAAATTCAACATAAAAGTCGCAACACCTATATAAGGATACCGACAACTATGTAAGAACAAAAAATAAAAAATCTGAAAAATGTACAACTACATCAGGAGTCAAGGGGGAACGTTGAGCCTATACCTGTCCACGGTACTAATGGATAAAATTATAAAAGAATGTGGAAATAGAATTAAGAAAACAACAATATGGAGAGGATAAATATTAACCAACCGTGTTTGCAGATGAACTATTACTGTTCGCAAAACAAACAACAGAAAAGAAGACCTACAACATTACCTTGAGTTATGGAATAAAAACTGAAAATAAATATGAACAAAACAAAATGTATGAATGTACTTAGGAATAATAGTAACAGAGGATAGAAATAGAAGTTGAGGCAGAAATAGAAGATAGAACAAAAGCAACTACAAGATTATACTTCCAAGTAAATAATCACCTATTTAACAAAAAGGAAATATCCACAAAAAAACAAAAATAAGGATATTCAACTCACTACCCTAAAAAATGGTTCAGAACTGTGAATATTGAGTAAAAGATAGAGACAGAAAATACAACCAAGTGAAATGAAGCTGCTAAGAAGGATTGCGGATCTGAAGATCATGGACAAAGTCAGAAATGTAGATTTAAGAAGAAGGTTAGGTGCCATATCGGTAGATATAAAAATAATCTTTTTCAAAAAGCGATCTCGAGGCATCGATCTTATAACTCATAGCTAACTTTGGGGCTTACGTGTGTCTTTATGCACTGATGACAGCGTTATGTGAGAAGTGGAGAGTCAGCCTACTTGACTCCATTCCTTCGGTTGCTTGTAGAAAAATAAGGACTAGTGAACTGACATAGCGAGACAAAGATGAGTCATTATTTATGGCGTATTTTTGAGAATTATCACTGTTAAATAATTCTTCTTCCATTCTGAAGCGTGAGAGTATTTATACAAACGTCGGTTATTCTTCCGCTCATTAGAATACAAGAAAAACAAGACATCGAAAAGCACCGCTAAACCACGAGTCGTCTGCCTTGATTTGAATGAGTTGCATTTTTGGGCCTTTCCACAAACGCTGTGCCTGCCCCTTTATTGGATAATTATATGGTGGATTACTCTGGCTTGTTTTATAGCTGCTTTTTTCATGGTGGTTTGTTGGCTTGCTTGTTCGACCGCACTCATTGCGGTGATGTATTTATCGAAAATTGCCTCTGCCGACATCAACGGAAGAAGATGTAAAATACCAACCAGACTTCGGATGGTGAGGATCTTCCTTAAATGGTGGTTAGCCGGATAAGTTCTTGTGTTTCTCCGACAGATAATTATACTTAGTGACATTAGAAGTGTTATGCCCAGAAATAATAACTTCTTCAACTTCAACAATGTCAACGTTTTATCTTTGTTTTTTTTTTACCTTTGTTAAAATGTTATCTCTTAGTTTTTGCGAAGACAGTAGTTTTTGAGAGCTGAAAAGTACAGATATTTTTAGTTATAACACTTTCATTTACTAGTGTTAAGTCGTGAAGTTCGAGTTGCTTGGAATGAGATGCCACAACCAGACATCGAATAAAATTTCTTGAGAATGTTGTCGTTTCATTCCTCATGTAAGACTACCTCGTTGCCAAAAAATCAAGCTCAAAAAATTATTTTTTCTGGATGTAACACGTGTAATGTCACTGAGTATGGTTATTTGACATCACAAATACTAAAAAGTAATAAATAAAGTAAAAAATAAAATCAAACAACCTTTCTATTTAGCTGTTCATAAGATGAACTAAAAACTTAGAAATATGTTTTTCTGATTAGAAATTTTGAAACGATAGCTTCTTTGTCACAAGTTTTCAAATGCTACACTTTAAAAAAAAAGTAATACGCTTTTGTCTAAAAACTTGAGATGAAGGAGCTCCATTTTCGAATAAATATTACCAATCGGAAAAAATATTTTTAAATTGTTAATTCAATTCAGTTGCGGCTGAGAGTATTTGGGGAACTTAAGGATCTTTAGATATTTAAGTCCATTCCTCCTCAATTCCAACGATATCGTACTCTTGATCTGTATTGACGAGCGAATCTCCTTGTTGACATTCCAACCTGATTTCTGTCTCTTCTCCACCAACCTCTCTGACCTGTGTGCAGTAAATGCCACTTTTTGGTAGATTCAGACATGGTTATTCCCTGCTCACACTCCGCTATTGTTCGATAAATGGTTCTGCGCGAAATGTTTTCATTCTGGAATATCCGACAAATTTCAAATTTGGGTACCCGCCCAATCAACTTGTAGATACTGTTTCGTATTTCTAATTTTCACAACATCTTATAGCGAAAACTCCAAATTACATAAATGTGAACTGACAGTAAAGTAAGTAAACAAATTTTTGTTTCCAAAGGCAACTTGATATTATTATTATTATTATTATTATTATTATGATAATTGAGATGAGCAGAGTACACAGTACTATAAGCTCATGCAGTAAATATAGTGTACGGACACGTAACACAAATACATCAAATAGGAAAAAAATAAAAAAAGACAGTTCATAGCTATTAAGTTTGTACACTCCTCCAGCTATCATACTGCACTTTGAAGCTATTAACTGAAGTAGCACCAACCACACTTTCAGGTAAACTATTCCAGGTGTTGAATATGCGGTTGGGAAGAAACCACTGTCGGACTGTTGTTTTAAATGGCTCCTTATGCAGTTTGAAGTTGTGTCCGCGTAGATTGCTGCGCGACAGACGGTATAGATGCATGAGGTTGGTTCCCATCAAACCATGAAGTATCCTGAACGTAACTATAAGATCGCCACGAAGTCTTCGCTCAGAGAATGAGGTCAGGTTGAATAATTCAAGGCGATCTTCATAGCTTGGTCTTCGTGCTCCAAAAGGGATACGAGTAGCCCGACGCTGTACTGATTCGACGAGATTTCTATCGCGCAGAAGCACAGTGTCCCATACCAGGCCAGCGAATTCAAGAATTGGCCTCACGAATGCCTTGTAAATGTAGGCGCAAGTGTTGACATCGGATCCTTTGAAATACCTCTCCAGCATGTATAGAAGTTTCTTGGCTTTTGATGTAACGTGGTGAATATGCTCTGACTAGGAAAGACGATCGTTGACTACAACGCCCAGATCAGTGTGGCTGGAAACTGCTTCGATGTTGTGGTCAGAGATCTTGTATGTAAATCGCGGATTTGTCTTCCCGAGGTGAAGGACACAACACTTAGTTAGATTTAAGGGTAAAAGCCAACTGACTGACCATTGACAAACAATATCAAGATCTCGTTGAAGCATAGCAGAGTTTACGACAGTATTGTAAATCTTGGTGTCGTCGGCATAAGCTGAACATGTGGAGGAAATCAATGCGGGCAGGTCACTTGTATACAGAAGGAACAGCACTGGCCCCAAGACAGAGCCTTGAGGAACTCCACTTGCTACATGATGAAGGTGAGACTGGCTATCACTGACGCGCACAGAGAAAGTCCTCCCGGTGAGGAAAGCCTTAATCCACAGTAACAACTCGCCTCTTATTCCCATACATTCCAACTTAAACAGAAGCCTTTTAAGTGGTACGCGATCGAAAGCCCTAGAAAAATCTAAGTAGATTATATCAACAGGAGTCTTTGTGTCCAGATACTGAGTCCAATTATTATTTTGACTTTGTTAAAATTAAAACCAATGATTGTTTTTCGCAAAATTTTTAGGACATAACGTTATCTACGTTACAGGAGCTTTTAGATGGAAATGTGGATTTTAGGAACTGGATATTTACATTTACTGATATCCTCTATAATCATCTCATGCGGCTGAACAACTTTCTCCATCACACTCATATCAAAAAACAACTAATCGTCCCACAAATCCCCCAGTAATTCGATTATGAGGACTCTGGCCGGGTAAAACACATTCTGAGGACGTTATCGATCGTTTCGATCAATCATCGATCATGACAGGACTGGAGAGGAGGTAGAGATGAGGAGAGGGGAGCCTTAACCCAACATAACTTGATAGTCGCCAGATTGATAAATCTGTTTCTAGGCCTCCTATGATGAATCATTTATAAATAAATCCATTGTTAGCGCGGACTGACCCCTTTGTAGCCGCGGGAGACGAAAAAAAAAGGAAGAATCACCACAAGGTGATGTGGGAGAGATATGTCTTCTTATAAAGGGCGACATATCGTAAAATCAAGAAAGGATCCTTCATAAGTTGTTAAGATCTATACAAATTCTACCTACTGCATTCCGACGGAGGGTGACATTCATAAAACATACATA